AGAAATTAAATCAGCAAGGGAGTCATTACCCAAGAATGCCCGCCAGATACAGGAGCAGCAGCAGCAGCAGCAGCAACAACAACAACAGCAACAGCAAGAGCAGCAGCAGAAGCAGCAGCAACTAACCTGCATTCAACAGAGTGCAGCAGCAGCAGCAGCAACAGCAGCAGCAGCAGGAACAAGAACAGATGCATCTCGTACCCGACCCAACACAGAAACAGCAGCAGCAGCAGCAGCAGCACCACCTGCAGCAGCAGGCCCATCCCTCGCTCCTCCTTCTTCTACTGGGGGTTCAAATCCTGGGGGGGCCCCCATGGGGGGCCCCCCTATAGGGGGGGCCCCCTGTCTTCCTCCCCTAACAGAGGAGCAAGTGCAGCAGAAACTGCAGGAGCTGCAGCAAGCAATAGCAGGATGGTCAGCAAAGCTTGCTGCAGCACAAGCAGCAGCAGCAGCAGAGCTGCAGCAGCTGCTGCGGAGAGCAGAAGCAGCAGCAATTCTACAGGAGAAGAATAGATTAATTGAGAGTGCATGCACTTCTTCTCCCTAATAATGCAGCAGCAGCAGCAGCAGCAGCCGCAGCTGCAGCAGCAGCAGCAGCAAATATATTTATCTGTATATACACTTAATTACTGCTGCTGTGTGAAGAGAGACAAATATAACAATTATATTTCTTTGCTGCTGCATGCAGCAAATGCATGCATGCAGCAAACGCATGCATGCAGCAAATGCATGCAGTAGTCAATAAGACATTTATTTTTTTCTTTGGGGCTGCATGCATTGTTGTGCATACACCGCAACAAAAATATATTAATTAAATAAAGAATATAAATAAATAAATATTTATAATATTTGTATTATATTTATATAACAGATATTCTTTTATTAATATAATACATACATATAAATAAATAATAATTATATTTATTAATAATAATAAATATATTAATAAAAGAAAAGAAAAGAAATATTGTTTATTTACAATTAATAATATATTGTTTGCTCAACTAGCCAATGAGCTGCCTATACACCCCAACTAGCGACATAATTTTTCTTCTCTTTTCTCCCTTTAATTAACAAAATAAAAGACCAATTCCTTTTATTATTAATTAATAATGTTTATTTCTTATTTTATAGCATATAAACAGCATAAATTGCACCAAAAATAGCAGCAACAGGAACACCAGCAACAGCAGCAGCAGCAGCAGCACCTGCATGCACAGACGACTAGCCATAAGACATCTAGCCATAGGCATAAAAAGGGATTTATTTTTCTTATAAAAAAAGAAATAAATAATAAATAAATAATAAATTAAATATAAATAAATAATAAAATAAACATTTTATTCTTTTTATTAATTAAATAATACCCTTTTATTAAAGAAAAAGTACTAATTATTCAACAGCAGCAGCAGCAGCAGCAGCAGCAGCAGCAGCAGCAGCAGCAGCAGGAACAGCAGCAGCACCGCCGACACAGACCTAAGGTCTCCTGGCCATCTAACGATTCATCTGTTTTTCTTTTCTTTTTCTTCTTTTATGAATAAAAAAAAGAATAAAAAAGAATAAAAAAAGAATAAAAAAGAAATAAAATATATTTATTTTCTTCTTTTTACCTGCCTATACACCGCAAATAAATAAAGGTGACCATTGGTCACCAATAAATAAAAAGGAGACCTTTTATTTCTTTTTTCTTCTTCTTTTCTTCTTCTTTTCTTTTCTTTTGTTTATTTAATTAAATATATTATATTTAATTAAATATATATTTACTCTTTTGCTGTCTTATAAGGGAAAAAAGAGGAAAAAGAAGAAAAAGGAGAAAAAGAAGAAAAGGAAAGAAGAATAATACTAACCAAAGAATTATTTCTTCTTCTCTTTCTTCTTTTTCTTCTTTTTCTTCTTTTTCCTCTTTTGTTTCTTTTATTTCTTTTTTATTTATTTTCTTATTTTCTTTAGATAAAAGGAAAAAAGGAAGAAAAAGAAGAAAAAGGAGAAAAAAGAATTATTTCTTTTTTTCTTCTTTTTCTTCTTTTTCTTTTTTTTTTTGTTTATTAAAGTATATTTTATTTATAAATAAAAGTATTTCTTTTTTTATTTCTTTTTTATTTCTTTTTTATTTGTTTGCTTTTCTTTTCTTTTTTATTTCTTAAATATATAACCAATAAATAGCAACGGCAGCAACAGCAGCAGCAGCAGCAACAACAACAACAACAGCAGCAGCAGCAGCAGCAGCAGTCATGCAGCCTTCCATGGCAGCAGCAGAGGAGAACTGCTGTGATTATCCATGGAGGGAAATAAGAAGAAATGGCAATGTACAAGAAGACCAACAGCAGCAGCAGCAGCAGGAGCAGCAACAGCAGGAGCAGCAACAGCAGCAGCAGCAACTGCAGCAGCAGCAACAGCAGCAGCAGCAACAGCAGCAGCAGCAAAGGGAAGAAGATTATTATAATAGATCAATTAATATATCTCCTCCCCTTTATCTTCATAACAACAACAACAACAAAAATATAAATAATAATAATATAAATAATAATATAAATAATAATATAGATAATAATAATAATATAAATAATAACAATAATAATAATAATATATATAATAACATTCCTGTAAGAAAAGAACAAGAAGAAGAAGAAAAAGAAGAAAAAGAAGAGAAGAATAATGATTATGAGGTGTACATACACCTAAATAGTATAGAAAAAGAAGAAAAAAAAGAAGAAAAAAAGAATAAATTAATAAATATAATAAAGAATATAAAGGAAGGAATAATATATTATAAGAGTATAATAATAATAATATTATGTTTATTAATACCTTTATTATTATTTATATATTATTCTTTTTATAATAAAAAAGTACGTTGTTTATATATAATAATAGTAATAATAATAACATGGTTATTTAATACAATAGATCCTTATATAATATCTTTTTATCCTTTTTTTTTATTCCCTTTATTAAAGGTTGCTGCTGTTGCTGCTGTTGCTGCTGCATATATTAATAATATATCTTTTCTTATTATAGGGGCAACTATGTTTGCTGCTGCAGTAAAAAGAGTTAAATTAGATAAACAAATTGCTTTTTTTCTTGTATTTGTTTCCCCTATACACCCCGAGGAATTAACTCTTTTTATTATGTTTACTTCTTTTTCTTTCTCTTCTTCTCTTAGTAATACTGCTACTATGCTCATCTTTTGTCCTATTATTGATCTTATGATTAAACAAATGCAGCAGCAGCAGCAGCAGGAAGAAGAAGAAAGAGAAGAAGAAGAAGAGGGGGAGGAAGAAGAGGGAGGAGGAGGGGAGGAGGGAGGGGAGCAGCAGCAGCAGCAGAGGGAGGAACAGGAGGAGGAGGAGAGGAAGAAGAAGAGGGAAGATGATCATGATGAGGGAGAGAGGAAAGAAAGTACATTAGATAGTACAACTACACAACAGCAGCAGCAGCAGCAAGAAGTGCAGCAACAGCAGCAGCAACAGCAACAGCAGCAGACAATATCTTTTCCTTCTTATTCAACAAAACAATCATCATCTACAAATATTGATTATTTTATTTCTTCCTCTTCTTCTTCTTCCTCTTCCTCTGAGGTGTCTATACACCTAAATAATATAAAAAAGGAAGAAAAGAATAGAAATAACAACAATATTTCTTCTTCTTCCCCTTGCTCTTCTTCCTCATATTCTTGTCCTGTAATAAAAGAAGAAAGAAATAATAATAGAATAAATAGGAATAAATTGGATAGAATAAATACTAGAGAAAAGAATAATAAAAAAATAAGGAATTTATTATATATAGGTTGTGCATATGCAGCAACAATAGGAGGATCATCTACATTAACAGGATCATCATCTAATGCTATCTTTATACATGTATTAGATTATATGTATAATAATAATAATAATAATATAAATAATAATAATAATAATAATATAAATAATAATAATAATATAGATAATATTAATAATAGTTATAATTCTTCTTCTTCTTCTTCTTCTTCTTCTTCTTCTTCTTCTCCATCCTCTTTACCTCCATCCTCTTCAACTCCTTCAATTCCCTCCTCTTCAATTCCCTCTTCTTCAATTCCCTCCTCTTCAATTCCCTCCTCTTTAATTCCTTCCTCTTCAATTCCGTCCTCTTCAACTCCCTCCTCTTCAACTCCTTCGTCTTCAATTCCTTCGTCTTCAATTCCCTCCTCTTCAACTCCTTCGTCTTCATCAATTCCCTCTTCTTCAATTCCGTCCTCTTCAATTCCCTCCTCTTCAATTCCGTCCTCTTCAACTCCCTCTTCTTTAATTCCTTCGTCTTCAATTCCTTCGTCTTCAATTCCATCCTCTTTAATTCCCTCCTCTTCAATTCCATCCTCTTCAATTCCTTCGTCTTCAATTCCGTCCTCTTTAATTCCATCCTCTTCATTAATTCCCTCCTCTTCAATTCCATCCTCTTCAATTCCATCGTCTTCAATTCCATCCTCTTCAATTCCATCCTCTTCAACTCCTTCCTCTTTAATTCCATCCTCTTCAATTCCTTCGTCTTCAACTCCTTCGTCTTCAATTCCCTCCTCTTCAATTCCGTCCTCTTTACCTCCCTCCTCTTTATTAACTCCCTCCTCTTTATTAACTCCCTACTCTTTCCCTCCTTCCTCTTTCCCTCCCTCCTCCTCATCAATACCATTGTCTTCTTCGTCATTAATTTCTTCTTCTTCTTCTTCTCCTCCTCCTCCTCCTCCTTTTTCTTCTTCTCCTTCTCTACCTTCTCGTTCTCCTTCTTCTCTCCCTTCCTCCTCCCCTACTCCCTCTCCTTCTCCTTCTTCTTCTTCTTCTTCTTCTCCTCTTCCTCCTCGTATAATAAAGAATCCAATAACATATACAACCTGGTTAATAATATGTTATCCTCTTTCTTTTATTCAATTATTTATTTGTTGGTTCTCTCTTTGTTCTATATGGATAGGTATTATACCTACTATGCATGCAGTAAAAAGACTTATTATTAAATCTATACTTTTATTCAATAAAATTATTCATTATTGCTGCTGCTGCAGCAACAGGAACAACAACAACAACAACAGCAGCAACAGCAACAGCAACAGCAACAGGAGGAGGAGATATAGAAATAGACATACAACAAATGCATGCATGCAACAGCAACAAGAGGAAGAAGAAGAAAAAAAAGAAAGAGAAGAAATAAAAGAATTATATTGGGCACGTATATATGTTATTATATGTTGGTTATTATTAATATGTTTATGGTTATCTAGGCATACATTAATAAAAGAAATAAAAGGATGGGGAAAAGAATATGATGGATATATTGATGATTCTTATGTTGCTTTCTTTGTTCCTTTCTTTCTTTGCTTCTTACCTATTAAACCTAGATATAAATATAATAATAATAATAATAATAATAATAATAATAATTTATCTTCTTCTTCTCCTTCTTCTTCCTTTTTTTCTCTTTTTTCTTGGTCATCTATACAAAAAGTTGTACGTACACCCCAATTACAATAATAGTTCAATATAAAGGTAGCAAACAGTATTTAATTAATTATATTATTTATTTATTTATTTATTTATTTTATTTATTTATTTCTTTATTTATAAATATCTTTTTTTTTTCTTTATATGTACAGATAACTGCACCTATAAGATGGATAAAAAGAAGAAAAGAAATAAAAAAATTAAAACATAATTGTAATTCTTCTCCCTTACCTGTTGTTGTTACACCAGCAGCAGCAGCAGCAGCAGCAGCAGCAGCAGCAGCAGCAGCAGCAGCAGTAACAACACCAGAAACAATAGCAACACCACAACCACCACCATCACCACGACCAGCACAACACGATCCACCATTAGCAGCAGCAATAACACACCCAGCAGCAGCAGCAGCAGCAGCAGCAGCAGCAGCAGCAGCAGCAACAACAACAACAACAACAACAGCAACAACACATCCAGCAGCAGCAACAGCATCACACCCAGCAGCAGCAACAGCATCACACCCATCAGCAGCAACAACAACACACCCATCAGCAGCATCACGCCCATCAGCAGCAGCAGGAGCAGCAGGAGCAGCAGGAGCAGCAGGAGCAGCAGAAGCAAGAGAAGAAGTAGTATTTGAAGGAATATTGAACTTTGTTGTACTAGAAAGAGAGATGGATTGGGGATTGTTATTTTTATTAGGTAGTGGATTTGTTATAGGAAAAATAATAAATAATATACAATTAGATAAAGAAATAATTTATTTTATTTCTTTTTTATTTAATTATAATCAATATATACAAATTGCATGCATTATGTTCTTTATTACTATATTTACACAAATTACTAGTAATACAGCTACTGCTAGTATTATTATGCCTCTTTTATCTAATGCTGCACAAGGATTACAATCTAATCCTATTCTTATTATGCTTGCTGCTAATGTAAGTCTTATTACAATTATATACACTTTATTAGGGTTTATTAGGGTTTATTAGGGTTTATTAGGGTTTATTAGGGTTTATTAGGGTTTACTAGGGTTTATTGGGGTTTATTAGGGTTTATTAGGGTTTATTAGGGTTTATTAGGGTTTATTAGGGTTTAGGGTTTGTGAGTTTATCTTTCTTTTGTTTTTTTATTGTTTTATAATTAATTAATTATTAATTAAATGCATGCATTATGTTATGTTTAATGGTTAATCTTCTTTTCTTTTTTTTTTTTCTCTTTTCTTTTTTATGTATAATGCTCTCCTCTTACTCTCTTCTTGTTACCCATAATCACCTGCATGCACTGCTTAATTCCTCAACACACATACATGCATGCATGCATGCATATATATTCATGTATATTGGTGATGGATTGCTGTACTTATTTATTTATTTATTTATTTATTTTCTTTTTTCTTCTTTTTTCTGTTTTTCTTTGCAGTTTGCAACAACATTAGGTTTTTTATTACCTGTAAGTACACCATCTAATGCAATAATAATTCGTTATACAAAGATAAATGTTTTGCATTTTTTTATTGGAGGTTTATTGCCTCTTTTTCTTTGTCTTGCTGCTGCTTATATTGCTACATTTACATGGGTAAATGCAGTATTAAATATATTGCATGCATAAATATATAAATATATATATAAATATATCTATAATTATATTAATAATAATACATTAATTATTATTAATTATTATTTATATATTTATATTTATAAATATATTCATTTTATTGGGGTGTATATACACCTCAACAAATACAACTTTTGTTTTTAATTATTTATTAAATGTTGTTGCTGTCCTGTCTAATAACAAAACAGACACAAAGTTTGGGGCTTGAAACCCTAAATATGCATGCATTAATGCATGCATGCATTAATATACGCATGCATGCATGCATGCACGTATTAATGCAGCACACAGATGTCTGCATGCATGCATGCATGCATCCATGCGAATACCCCTACCTGGTGTGTAAGTGTAAGTACATTGGCATATATGCAGTATATACAAATAATACAAATATATTTTTATATAAATATATAAATATATATAAATATAAATAATAATGTAGTGTAGTAGTAGTACTACTACATAGACAATGTGTACACATACTGCATTCTTCCCCTTAATAAGCCAACTGCGGTGTACATACACCGTAATTTATTTTCCCTTATGTATATATAAAAAGAAGATATAGATGCGCAATTACCCCCCTTATGTTATTTTCTTTCCTCTTAACAAAAAGAAGAAGAGGAAAGAAGAAACAATGCCTCTTGTCATGTCCTATAATGCATGCATTCGTGCAGGCAGGACTTTCCCCCTCACTCGCTGCTGTTGCTCCCTTTTGCTGCTGCTCCTTTTGCTGCTGCTGCACAATGTTGTATATATTAGGTTGTTTTTTTTATTAAATATTGTTTAATATAGTATATAAGAGGTAATATATATATAGGTAGGCAGCAATAAAGAGAAGAGAAAAAGAAGAAAGATTATGTTACCATTGTATTTATATATTTATTTATATATATGTATTATTAGTGTATACAAATAAGCAAACAATTTTTTTCTTTTCCTTTTCTTCCCCTTTTCTTCTCTTCTCTCTTAGCCATTAAATATACCATTTATATCCATACCCTTCATGTAGTTGGCCGTTATAATAGTTAACTTAATCAATTATATTAATTAATTAATTAATTAATTAATTAATTAATAATTAATTAATTAAATTAATTATTTATTTATTTAGCCACTTATATATCTGAGCCGAACTTTTCTACTAATTTATTCATTTATTTATTATACCTTAATCCCCTCATTTAATTCCCCTTTAATTACCCATTTAATTAAATAATTAATTAATTAATTAATTAATTAATTAATTAATTAATTAATTAATTAATTAATTAACTATTTAATTAATTAGTCACTAATATCTGAGCCGAACTTTTCTACTAATTTATTCATCTTTTTATCATACATTAAACCCCTCATTTAATTCCCCTGTAATTACCCATTTAATTAATTAATTAATTAATTAATTAATTATTTATTTATTTATTTATTTAATTAGTCACTTATATCTGAGCCGAACCTTTCTACTAATTTATTCATCTTTTTATCATACCAATGACGAATTCTTTGCCATAGTCCTGGATCAATAGGAGGCTGTATATCTTTTTCTGCATTATCTATATCTGCATTAAATCTTTGTGTATTTTTTTCTTTATTTTTATTATATTCATCTATTTCTTTATTATATATATCAATAGGATTATTCATTTCTTTTTGCTTTTTTAATTCCTCTTTTTTTTTCTTTTTTTCTTCTTTTTCTTTCTTAAATACAGGTACATTCTCTATAAATTCTGTTATTTGTTGTATATTTTCTTCTTCTTGTTTATTTAATGATGATAAATCTAATTGTACTCCTTCTTCGTCAACTGTATGTACTTCTTGTCCATTATACATAGTAGTATTACTACTGTTGTTGTTGTTGTTGCTATTGTTGTTGCTGTTGCTGTTGCTGCTGCTCGTACTGTCTGCTGAATTCTCTGCTGTATCCTCATCATTATTAATAATTGTAGATTTCTTCTCCTCTACAAAATTCATATTTTGTTCATTTTCTTTTAAGTCTTCTTCGTCATCTAATAGATCTAATTCATCATTTTCTTCTTTATTTCCTTCTTCTTCTATTGATTTATTATTTTCTTCTAATTCTTCCTCATCTAATACTAATAATTGCTCTTCTTGTTCTTCTTCATCATCATTTTCTTCTCTTTTATTTACTTTATTTCCTTCTTTTTCTTCTTTTCCTGTTGGAGGAGAAGAGCCAAAGTCTTCATCCATATCAAAGTCTGCTACATCTGCATCCTCTCCATCTAATAATCTTATTTCTTCGTCTTCGTTCTTACTAGAGGCAAATACCCAACCTTCATTTGTAATAAAAAGAAGAAAAAAGCTTGCAAAAAGCAAAGAAATACACCTCTGTAACTTCATCTTCACCGTTCATATACAGAACGTTGTGCAAAAAGGAGAGGTTCAGCAGAAATGGAGCATCTGTTGATACATTTAAATATATACAACAATTCTCCTTATTATAATTAACAATAAATATATTCAAATTTATGATAATATTGTCGCTTTCTCCCTCTTTACCCCACCAGGTGGAGAAAGCGCCTTTATCCTTCTACACTACCAGCAGCGCAACGGCCCAGACCACCACTTTCCTGCTGTTGATCCTTGGGAAAATATGAATATATGGAGCACCAAAACTAAATGGTACAATAAATATTGAGTTAAATAGATATTATATTCAAAAAAATACAAAATTTATGCAAGAAAATGATGGGGATTCTATCGCTGCATGCGTCAGGTATATCGAGTACAGCTGCCGCTCTCTGTTCACAGAGGCGCACAGGGGTAACGTACATCAAAAAAGCAGGGTTTCTTTGTTCTTTTTGTTGACAACTTTGTATACTTTAAGGTAGTAATTTACATTACAACACTTTTAATTAATATATTATTCAATTTAATACTATTTACTGCTCATTCCTGCAAGGGTGCTGCTGCTTCGATGCTGCTGCAGCAGAACGTGAGTTGAACGAACAGGCGATCATTTCTACGTTTCTGCTGTAAGCATGCTTACCAACCATAACTCTTTCTTTCTTTACTTTTTTTCTGAATTATAATAATATTAATGTATATAAATATACAATTTAATTCCCTCCTTTATTCCGTTATTTGTATACCTCTACTATGCGGGGTACGAGGGAGGGGAATAGGGTTAACAGACCTTGTACGATTCAATCATTCAATGTTTTCGTTATATTTTATTAATAATATAGAGCTTATTATACACATTGTACCCTTTTATGAATATTTTATATGTTTTTTATGAATAATTTTCTTTGCTTCCCCTTTATTGTTGCATTGTATAAGAAGATCGTTTAACTCGAGCAAAAACAAGAAGAAAGGTTCTTCATATGTATATTTAAATACAGCATATATAATAACGCATGCATATGTATACTCAGCGTTCCTGCATATATAATATATATAAAATATATATTGTATAATATATACAATATATATTATGTATATACATGTTAATTATATTATATATAATATATATATGATACATATTATATACAGTAAATGTATAGGCACCTCTGGTCATTTTATATATTTCTTCTTTAGCTTGTTTATAGTAGCAGTCATGGCAGTAAAGGAGATACCTAATGCAGCAGCAGCAGCAGCAGCAGCAGCAGCAGCAGCAGATTCATTTAATTATATTGCATGCACCAAGAAGCACAAAGGAAGGAAACAAAAAGAAAAGATAATAAACAAAACAAAGTAAAAAATTGACAATTGCCTTCTTCTTTTCTCCCTCCTTTTTATACCCTTTTTCTTCTTCTCCTCCCTCCCTTATTTCTTCCCTCTTGAGGCTCGCGAGGGTCCCCCCGCATAGGGGCCACCTAGCGCATCTTTTTCCCGAGGGCCGCCCACATACAGCAGCAGCTGCAGCAGCAGTTGCAGCAGAAAAGGTTGGAGCAGCTACGGGTTGTGCCGGAGCGGAGGAACCTCTGCCTTTGTTGTTTTGTTGCTGCTGCTTCTGCTGCTGCTGCTCCTCCTGCTGCTGCTCGTGCATAAGAATGATTATAGCTGTTTAGCTGCATGCTTATATTCTGTCTTTTACTGACGCATCACTAACCCCTCCTCCTTCAAACAGCAGCAAAGTTGTGGGGTATAGCTGCTGCTGCTGGTGCTGCTGCAGCTGCTGCTGCAACTGCAACTGCTGCCGTAGCTAAGAGACAGAAGGTACAATGTGGGGAACGTCTCCTCCCATCGATTTACACCTAGTAGAGGCACGTTGCTGCTGCATCGGCTGCTGCTTCATCTGCTGCCGTCTCCTTCATTAGAGACACGTTTGCTGCTGCACCTGCTGCTACACCTGCTGCTGTCTCCACAGAAGCAGCTGCTGCTCTTGCGGCTAATGCTGCTGCTGCTCCCATTGCTACAGAAGGAAGAGTCATTCAACTGCACCAGCAAGATATTCATGTTGCTTCCGTTGGGCCAAGAACAGCAGCAGGAGCCTGCGCCTGCAGCGATGCAGCAGCAAGCAAAAGAAATCAGATGAATATGGCCCCTCAGGAGTTGCACTCAAATTAGGGTTTAGGGTTTAGGCTTTAGGGTCTAGGCTGTACATCATTGACACTTTCCTGTTGCTGCACATGCTGCGTCTGTAAACCTGCTTCGTTGTTTGGTAGTGCTGCTACTGATGCCGCTGCTGCTGTTGCAGCTGCAGCTGCATCAGCTGCCATCATTAGATTCAATGGAAGCAGATGGTGTACATACACCCGTTTCAGGAGGAGGGGGAGGAGCAGCAGTAGACACCTTGCTGCTGCACACACACCAATATTCCTCATATGCAACCCATTGTTAGCTGCTGCTACTGCTGCCGGTGCTTGTGCTGCTGCTGCTGCTGTTGCTGCAGTCGTTGCTGCTACTTCTGTTGCTAATGCTGGTGGTGTTGTTGCTGCTGCTGCTGGTCTTGCTGTAGCTAGTGCTGCTGCTAGGGTTGTTTTTGCGGTTGCTGGTTGTGCTGCTGTTGTTGGTTGTGGTGCTGCTGCTGGTGCGGCCGTTGCTGGTGATGTTGTTGGTGCTACGGTAGCCGCTGCTGCTGCTGCGGTTTCGGCTGCACTTGCTGCTGCAATTGCAGCTGCAGTTGCTGATGGTGTTGATGCTTTTGTCGCTGCTGCAAGCGGTGGCGTTGCTGTTGCTGGTTGTGCCGCTGTTGTTGGTGATGCTGTTGCTGTTGCTGCTGATGGCGTGATTTATTCAGACGCGTGACGCGTGAAGGTTGGCCCGAGTTCCCGGAGTTCCGTAGGAGTTGGAGCTCCCTCGATTCAACTTTTAAACCTCAAAAGCCCAGCTATCAAATTTTCAACGCAACCGAATTCCACGTCATCCATACGTGTGGCTCCCCCAACCACGAACCAACTCCACACCTCTTCACCAATCCCGATTAGTGGAATGGAAGTGATGAGGGATTCGAAAACCTTAAGAAGCCGAAGCCAATGACGAGTGACATTGTAACTACCGAGTTAGTATGGCAACACCAATCTAACATGTACCTGACGAGTCATTCATTGGAATTCCAGCATCCACAACGGGACGTGACGACGACGGATTTGAACGCGAGCCCACTGACACATATGCACCTCACCAGAAGACACAACAATTAACTGCATCACGGTAATGGTCCATGTACTTTCCCCAGCAAGCTGGATATGCTGAGGGAAGAAAACATCGTACAACGCAGGCTGAATCTTAGTGGATCGTAGGACAAGCCTACTCTCACACTTACAATACCTGGTTGCGCCAAAGTCGTCTGCAATGGATGTAGCGCCTCAATTGTGGGAAATTGCGATTATAGCCCAGCGCATGACGCAGAGGGCTTTGATGAGATGTTGCGCTCGAGGCACTAAAACCATATGCAAGTAACAAATGAGGCGATGAAAAACACTGCTTAGCCAGCATGGATTCTGACTTAGAGGCGTTCAGTCATAATCCAACAGATGGTAGCGTCGCGGCACTAG